TACTTGATCTAACTTGATCTAAATGTTTTATAAAATATATTAGAACTTGAAAAACATGTTACTAAAAAAAAAATTCTCACTAATATACTAATAATTGAAAGAATTCTACTGTTGTAAACTTAAACTAAAGTGAATTTCATTTGTACTTTCGCTACTTTTCACATATAAGTGAACTACCTTAAAATACTTGATCTAACTTGATCTAGAAGTTTTAAAAAGTTTGATTAGATATAAAAAACGTACTAACAAAAAATCAACTTTAGTTATACAAATAACTTAAGGTGTTATCATATTACTAACTTTATTGATTTTCATATTATTTTTGTATAACAACATTGTATTATATGATATATTAAACAATCATATTCAATCTGATGATCAGAGGCAGTGACCAATAAAAATAAACTTCCATTATGCTATCTGAGCTTCTATTCTTTTTATAATATTTTAAAAGTAGATTTGTACTTTATATAAAATTTTAATTAAATATTTAATAAAAATAGAAGCATGGTCTTACTATTAATATTTAAAAAAAATAACAATACTGTTTATATATAACTATAAAAATATTATAATTTGTTTAAATAAAAATTATTAATAAAGTTTTTAAATTTATTAAACAACTCTTTTTAATGATTATTTAAATCAAATTTTCTAAAAAATTAAATTATAGAAAAATATTATAGTTAATATATTAAACTTTATGAAACTTTTTTAGAATATTATATATACATAATTGGATATTGAAATAGAATTAAAAAAGAAATTGCAACTTTGTGATGATAATTTAAAAATACTCTAAAACTATAAAAAAAATAATTAGTAAAAACTAAATTTTTTTATTAAGTAAACAACAAAGTTGGATATATTAGTTTTATATCATTGTAAAACTTATAAGAAATACCTAAAAAAGTCAAGAACTTATAAAAGCTACAAAATTAGTTTACCTTTTGCCTTACTTTTTTTTAAGAAAAAATTTATAAAAAATAAATAATTTAGTTTACTCTCTTCTAAAAATCAATATTATAAAATTACTAAAATGATTAATAATATTTACTTTCTAAATAGATTTGTTAATAATATAGATCAGAAATAATATAGTAACACAAATATAACTATACATATGTTATAAACTACTAGAAATTTGTTAATACTGTCTTCAAACTAATTAGTATCTTATATCAATTTTTTATAACTATGTTAAACTTTTTTTATATATAATTTTTTATTATATAAAAAAATAATAGTTATTTTTATTTAGTATAGTTTATAATTTTTAAATCTAATACAAAAACTTGTAAGTTGATAGTGTAATAGTTAGTGCTCTTAGGTCTCAATCACAAGATCATAAGTTCAAGTTCAGAGAATGACAAAAACTCTGCCAAGATTATGATTGAAAAAGATCTGCAGAGGATTTCTATTTAAAAAAAAAACAAAAAATAAGATTTATATGAAAAGATTGCAGTGACTAGTATAGTTACAAGGTTGGAAACAATCAGATAAGATATAATTTGTCAACAAATAATGTTAATATTGAGAAAGTCTGATTTAAGAATATGTAGAATTAAGAATATCAAAAATATATGAACAATTTGACTAATGGGTTATGTAAAATTAGAGAACTGCAAACTGAAAGTAATAGTAAGTTTTATACTATAGAACCAGAGACCCAGAACATTATATAATAAACTTAATAAAACATAAGTTATCTTACAGTTCAGTGACATACAGAACTACATGCTATCTGATAATCTTTGCAGAATGATAACTTTGACCTTTAAGAAATATAACAGATCTTAAAGATATCTAAGAACCTTCAAGATAGCAAAGAAAGATAAAAAAAAAAAAACCTGATATAAGCTTATAATTATAACCATCTGATATTTATGAATTACAAATTTCATGTATTTTTTTTTTTATTTATTTCTTGATTTGTATTTTTTATTGTTTTATTCCTAATCTCAATTTTGTTTTTTATATAAAAAATATATTTTTTGTTTTTGTTTCTTTATAAAAAAATATCATCAGATTGATGATGCCTTATTGTAAGACAGCAGTTAAACAAGCAGTCTATCTCTAACTAAGATAATGCAACAAGTTGCACTTAGGTACTGTCTAGATGATCAAGTAATTCTAAACTTGTATATTAGAAAATTCTATATAATTTGTATAGTTCTAAGAATTCTAATAAAGTACTAATATGACTGCTAAAGTTAAAAAAAATAAAAAAAATAAAGTTTTTGAGATATTAATTTGGGTTTAAGTTTGAAATTTGAATAATAAATATACCTGAACAAAATGTATTTTCAATGCTTGATTGCTCTGCTTTAACTCAGTAGTAAATAGTTTGTTGTAATAGTGCTTGGTCTTCTTTAGCAGCAACTAACCTTTTATGCATGTCTTTAGCATTTTTACCATGTTTCCAACATGTCCAAATATAATACCGTTGCTCTTTGCATGTACAGTTTTTTATCATTTCAAATAGATGATTTGAAAAATTATTTTTTTAATTTCATCAAATCAAAATATGCTATATTTTTTTTTATCAATCAAGTGTTACTCAAACTATTTAAATGGTTTTTTGATTTAAGTTATACCAATTTTTTTGTAAAACATATAAAAAGGTACGTACTAATTTATGCTTACTTCCTAAGTTGATGCGCCAATCGAACTTGGAAAAATTAGTAACTCCCTGAAAAGTCTCAAATTTTGCCAACATGTAGCCAGTGTTAAAATATAACGACATGATAAAGTTTCAAAGTTTAACGTTAAACCAAGTTTTTTTTTTATATTCATATTAACTATAAGGCAGAGTTTGCTCATTGGTAATTGTCACATTCTTTTATTATGTTAATTATCACGTCGTGTATAATATAATAAAAGGATGCGACAATTACCAATGAACAAACCGTTTGGGGTATTATCGTTATGGCGCACCAATAGTAAAGGTCCTCAAGAAAATATATATATTATTCCTAAAATTTATTGAAATAAACTAATATTTGATTAATACGTATCTATCAACAAACCAAAAAAAAAAAAAAAAAAACTTTATGTTTTTTCTTATTTGGAGGTATTATGGCGCACTATGTTACGTATTGATATTCAAACTGCGTTACAGTATATGCAGGTAACTTTTTTTATATTTTACTTTGCTGATCTTTTCCTCAAAATTGCTCGAAAAAGAAAAAGAAAAAATAACGTAATAACTACACATAATCCCTAGATTTTCAATCAGAATTGATCAATTTTTGTATCATTCGATTCATCTCAATAAAACGAATCGAATGGTACTAAAATTATTCGATTATTATTATTGTATCTCGAGATATCAAAAAAACACATAAGTGCGCCACGCCATAATACCCGACCCTCCCTTAAACAATAAAATCTATTTTCATCCGTGCGTATCTAATTATAACAATAGTTAATTAGTAGATGCCTAGAATTTTTTTGTACGTATATCTAAAAATTCGCACGTTAGGCGTTTCTTTTCCCAAACCTAGTTATAGCGATGGTGATAGTGATGCAGAAAAATTGCGAATCTGCATAAAGGTCATAAAAATAACAATGGCTTTCAAGATGATTTAATAATATCTTATTGTAAACCACAATTATCTAAAATAGAAATTATAAACTTTAAATAAAGTTAGTATATAACAATCGAATTCTGTACATACAAAGAAATGCCAATTTTCACCATTACGTAGTCAAGAAAATAATAATGGTTGTTAATTCATCTTTTCCCGAAGGGTTGAATAGTATTTCTACTTGGGGATTTTCAGCATTTGAACCACTTACATATATATATTTCAATATAGCCTTTATTATAATTGCGTACCCTTTATATCGATTAGTAGCAGGTTTTTTAAAATGGGAATTAAACGAAAAAACGCCGAGTAAACATTATAGTGATATTCTTGCGTGCGTTAGATATGGATTTATTGTGTTTGTGCTTGGGGGATATTCGGATACTTTCAAGTAAGTTCGTTAAAACTGTTGTAGTCCTACCAATGATAAAGTTATATATTTATGACATATTTTCTATGACTATATAAAACAAAGCTGGATCACAATTCTCTCATTTTATGTTGCAATGTATGGGTTCGGTAGTTTGGCAGAGCTTTCCTTTGCCAAGCAGTCTATACCAACATGGCGTAATTGGGCAGTACAAATGTGGATATTAATAATTGTAGCGATACTTATAATTTTGGCATTTGCAGCTTATCATATTTATCTAGGAGTGGTTTTCACAGGAGTTGGTCAACTCGGCCATGATGGAATATTTTTAGCTTGGTATATAGGTTGCTTGATAATTCCAGTAATACTAATTATATTTGGCTTATTAGCTGTTAAAGAACAAAACGATAGATATATTACAAAGAAATTGTTAAAGATTGTAAATATATTGAATGTATTTAAAAAGAAGAAAAAAGATGACGTGGAAACACAATCGAGCAGTGATAACATTGAAAATTCTGAGCCAACTGCTACTGCTAACAGTGAAGAGAACATTCAGATTAAAAACGAACCACAGTCATATAGCAAAAAAGTGGATGTTCATTTACACCATTGGCAAATATTCTATTTGCTTGCATTTTTCACGAGGTTTGATGATCCCATTTCGCGAGTCGCCGCTGGTATAGTATTAGGAATATATACACAAGGCATGATTGCGTAAGATATATTTCTTTAACATATTGTTTAAATTGCTTATGGCATGAATATAAAATTAATGGCATGTCTTTTTTATAGTTATGGGCCCGATAATTTTTTAATTGAACATTAGAATGATTCTTTCAAAGATTGACTAATTTAAATAATATTTTCTTTAAATAACGGGAGACAGATAATTTACTCGATGGGTTGCCTTTATATATCTTTTTATAATTATTTTACAAACACATATTTATCAAGTTTACTTAAAGAATCCTAGCAATATTATTAAAGATATCGTAGCTAATTTCGAAATTCGTAAACTATTTACGATTACAATTCTCTTAATAAACGAGTTGATCTCAATGTAGAAAAAATTATCGTCTTCACCAGTTTAAAACTTATAATAGCCCGTAGGTCTCTTGTGATCCTACTGATAACCTGTGATAACTGATAAAAATTGAGCCATCATATGGGGACATACACAGCAAAAGCAGGGAATGGGACTATATAATATATAGCCCCATCTTCTGTGGACGTTCCCAATATCAGTTTTATAAGTCAAACCTGATAACTGATACTCAAAATTTAATTAAATGTCTGAGCATTGCGAAAGACATTTAGAAGAGGTAAGTAAATCAACGATCATGTGACTTTGGCCTGAATTTTATTGGTTGCAGTCCAAACTTGTGAAGGAATACTAATCGTTACACAATTGATTTTTTTTTTTTTGCTATAAGTACCCATCTCTCTATTCTATCTAACTTAGGCCGTGACTGCTATGCTAATGCTAATCTAAACTGTAATATTTATAGACTAACATATTAAAATAAATAGATGTTATAAGTATTAATTAATGCGGTTGTTACAAGTGTCTATGTGCTAAAAGAAAATTGTTCACTATATATATATATTTATTTACATATTTTCTTCTGTGGTGGGCTAAGAGGAAGCTATGATCTTTGATTTACTTAACTTCTTAATTTTTAAATGTCTTTTGCAATGCTCAGACATTTAATTAAATAAACCTCATTCAGTAAGTAAATTACAGATCATGTGACTTATTGTAGAGTAGAATTCTTGTATGTTACAGTCAAAATGTTTTGTATGATCTGGTTTTTTTGTAGCATAAAAGTAATTTCTCTTATATAAGAATGCTGATAGATTTTGTGACTAGACCAATTACTCATTACTAATATTGCTTGTAAGTTAGCATCTGACTTTTGTGCATAAAAGGCTAAAAGTGATCTGGCATCCTTGGTTGTTAACTTCGGTACTGATTTGCTTAGAATCTTCTTGATCCAACATGCAATAATACCTGTTAAAACAGACATGTGATTTTCTGTCAAGGTTAAAAACAGTGATCTCTTCTGTTCTTCTGTGATACACAGGTTAATAGTACAGTTGTATAAGAAATTAACAACATCTAAAAGGAAAATTTCTGGTATTTCTTTATAGTTACCCACATAAATTAATTTTGTATGAGGTTTATTACCTTTATAAGCTATTGAAATTTTATGTTTTTTTGGATCTAAAACAACAGCTATTGCACTTTGTAGTATTGGTTTGAATTATGTAACATCAACTTATACTAGATCTGATGATCTACTTGCTGTAGTAATGACTAGAAGAAATGCAGTTTCTATAGTAAGTTAAGTAATAGCATTTCAAAATTGTTTTCTAATGCTTTTATTTTGTCAAATAATGAAGTTAAATCAATAACCTCATTATTGTTTAAAATAAGAAGATTTATTTTATATATTGCATACATAGTTTTAATACTAAAAAATGCAATCCAATTGGAAATCTATTTATTTATTTATTTATTTTACTTATTGCAGACCTGTATCTAGTGATCATATTGTAAGCTTTTTACATCTTGAGTTGTTTGTTTAAAAATTTAATTATATAATTTATAGAGCAAGTAGTAAGATCAATACTTTACACATAGCACCAATTGACTTATTTCTTGATATTAGATAACACTGTTTTTAAAGATGCCTTATTATATACTATGATGTGTAAGCTAATAATTTTTGGTGAAAAACCCTAGACAGATAGCTTATGCTTAATATAGAAGCTATACAAATTTTTCATTTTGTTATTCTAAGAGAATGTAGCATGTTGTATGTTACCTTTATAGCATTGTGTAGTAGGACAATTAGAAGATCTATTAATAGGAATAGAAGCAAAAAAAACTATAGTACTACTAATTAAAAAGAAAAAGCAAACCTATTATTACTTTTTCTTTAGTTACTTTCTCTAGTACTTTGAAAATTAGAACCCATGATAAGTTTATCTAGTATTTTCAACCTTTTTATGAAGTTATTAATATATTCATCACTATAGCTTTAAGATCTTTTTTTTATGAAATGAAGGCTAAGGTTTGTCTGTTTCATTAATTTGCAAAAAGATTGAGGTTTATATAACTCTATATTTTCTAAATTATATTAAACATCCTTCTGTTAATGAACTAGCTATGTCTGTTTATTGCTGTTTTAAATATTAGATATGTCATTGTGTTTAGTTAGTTTAGAATATATTTTGCTACTAGTTTTAGGCCTCACTCTAGACAGATTTTTCAAATTGTTTTGACTAATTGGCTTAGTAACATCAAGTTGGTACCTTCTTGCTTGTTAAGATATGTTGCTGTTATTATATTATTACTCTTTATTAATATTATTTGATTTACTAACTGTTTCTACATAAGAATGATCTTTTTTATTGCAATCAATTTTAAATAGTTTATATGTTTTGCTTGTAGTATTTTGTTCTACAGTCTATAAGCCATCTGATCATTTACAACAGTATTCCAGCCTGTTTTAAAAGTGTCTGTATAGATGGTCATTATAAAGTTCATCTGAACAATCTCATTTTCATTCTATTTTTTTAGATTGATTATCTAATTTTCCAATTATGCACTAACTTCTTGTGACAAATTCAGTGATATATTCTAACTGTTAAAGCATATAGTTTTGTTCTTTTCTTAAAGAAGGATTCTTGAGAATAGTCTTGCTAAATATACTGTATTTGTTATAACATTTAGCTTTCCAAGAAGAGCTGCTAACTTCCATACATAAACTGTCTTTGCTTTGAACATGTGTTGGCATTCTCTTATAATATCTATTACTTTTCTCTGTAATATAGTAAATGTTATATTTGTTGAATTTATCTTGAATCCTAAAAACTTGATTTGTGTTATTGGTTCTATTATAGACTTTTTCTTTTTTATTAAAAACTCAAGTGTTCTAACATTCTACAAATCTTCTTAATATGTTTGTATAACTCTTACTTTGATTGTACAATTATTAGTAGATTGTCTATATATATTATTGTTCATATTCTCTAAGACTAAATCATTGCTATTACAAATTTTAAAATTTTTATAAAGACTCTTAGACTTGTAGTTAACTCAAAAGGTAAAATCCTGAATATATAACATGAACTAAAAAAATCAAATATGCAATATCTTTTGAATTTTTTTAACAATAAAACATGATAAAAGGCATTCTTTATATCTATTTTTGTGATATAATCTTTTTTCTTTAGTAATGTTTTTACTAAGTTTATATTTTCTATTTTGAAGTACTGTTAATATATATAATAGTTTAACTTTCTCAAATCTATTATAAGGTGAAATTCTTCTAATAACTTTAGAATTAAAAATAGATTTAAAATAAAACAAGAGATTTTTGCTAATAGTGGTTCTATAACTCTCTAAAAGAGTAAATAGTTTATTTTTTTTGCTAAGTCTTTCTCTTCTGAGATGAAATACTGCTTAATTGTTAGTGGTTGTAATTTTATAAATGATGTTTTTATATATCTTGATTAATATTCTTTTTTTATAAATTGCATAACTCACAATTCTCTAGCTAGCTCTAACTATTGATTTTGAAAGAATCTTAATCTTATGCCAACTTTTATTATAAACTGATTTGATATATTTGTTGCTAAAAATCATTTGGCCAAAAATTTTGACTGCATAACTACATTTCTGGTTAAAGATATCTAGATGTATTTCTTCTATTACATGTGCTTTACTAAAATAAATTACCTCTAAATCCTTTATTGTTATTGAACTTTTGTATTAGTTGTTTTTGCCATATAGCATTATTAAAAAATTTATTTTTCTTATTTTTCTTGGTGATAATTGTTCCCAACTTATCTTTAAACAAAGGTTCTACTTCTGGTTTGGATTGGTAATTTGAATAAATTGTTCTGATAGTAATATTCTGTCTATGTATACTTGTATATAATAGTGTATTTAACAATAATATTCTTAATGAAAGTAATGCTAATTTTATAAGACTTTATATTTTATATGCTTTCTTTTTATTTAAAAGAGGTTTTGTTTCATACAACATTTTAATAGCATTATTCAAGAGTCTGAGTATTGCAGATGTCCAATATGAAATCTTATAAAGTATTTTATCAAATTTTTTATAATTCTTATGCATGCATCTTAACATCTTTTTGTCTATAAAAAGAAGCATAAGCTTGACAAGTTTGCTGTAAGAAAATGCTTATAGCAGCTTCTGTCTTTGTTCTAATTGTAAAATATTGTCCTTATAAATTTTAACTAATAATTTCTGTATCTTAATAGTTAGTACAAATGTTGCATCACTATGTTCATCTAGTAGGTAATGTTTATCATCTGACAATTGAACATTGGCTTTATTACTGTCATCTTCATTTTCATTATTGTAATCATTTTTATTAGCATTGTTATTATTAGTATTATTAATATTTACTGGAACCCTGTTTTGACTACTTGCTTTTTGGTTGTTTATAAAAAACTTGGAAATGCTTCTAAGTTGCAGACTGCAATCTAAAAAAAAAATAACCTAAGTTAGATAAAATAAAGAAATAGGTATTTATAACAAAAAAAAAAAATCAATTGTGTAATGATTAATATTTCTTTACAAGTTTGGACTGCAACTAATAAAATTCAAACCAAAGTTATATAATTTGCAATTTATTTATCAAACAAGATTTATTTAAATATTTTATATAAAATTTGACAAG